GAAAAAAATAGACCCAAACAGCAAGAATTTTGGTTACCAAACTACTTCCATTTAAAACTATGGTTAGTCTTTTTCTTACGCAATTTGCTCGCATAAACAAAAAGACTGGGATAATGGGAATCAAAGAGATCATCCAACGATCATCATACATGTATGCTCATACACTTACCAAAATCGTCGTCCACTAATTTGACAAGAACATCGGCAGCTGGCGTTGAACCACAATATAGTTTTCCAACAACCTGTAAATTTATCCAAGTAAAATGCGTTGAAACCGAAAACATTTATTTGCTCTAGACGATGCGCTAACAAAGAATTAAACACTGCTATAAGAGGTCAATCTCAACTAGACTAGATTTTAATTTTGTTCACGAAAAACAATTATTTGAAGTTAAATATTAGTATTGTCACTCCAATTACTGAATCGCCAACACTAAAACAGTATGTGTAGCAATTCAACAAGCCCATTCATGACTGTCGTTTTTGTTTTCCATTCTTCATAAAATTACAACAAACAACACTAAAAGTACTTGCTTAGGTTTTTGACAGCTAAAAAAAGCAAAAAATTATACCAAGAAAAAAATAAGTAATTAGGTAAGAAGAAACAATAACACTAAAAAAGTTATCAGATATAACGAAAACTTAAATAACTTACACTATAAAATTGAGGATCTGGAACTTTTGATGCTGTGGATCGATGAAGAAGGCATCCAATAAGTGGTATAAAAACTGTCGACAACAACATAATATTTAAAATCTAAAAAAAAAAAAGCTGAAAAATCAAATTAGACTGTTGCATATGGCGATGAAGACCATATAGTGCAACCTTTATATCATCATATTATATCATGACAAAAAAGAAAGAAAAAAAATTAAAATTTTTTTATCTGTGTCTTGAAGTTACATAGTACTGTAACTGGAAATAACATTACAAAAATTACTCATGAGATTGCTACTCAATCCAAACGTAAAAGCAAATGATTTAAAAAAAAAAAAAGCAGCTAAAAGATTGGAACTGTATAATAATCACTATATAATAGTCAAATTTCAAAATTCTCTATATATACACAGCATTCGTTCACCTGTTTGGTAATTCTGGATAAATGATTAAAGCGAAATGAATAAGACAGCAATAGAATACAGCCAGAATCCTACTGAATCAACGTCTATTCAACCTGTAATACAATATAATTTTACAGTGTTGCTATACCTATTTTGACCAATAAGTCCCACAAAATAAAGTTAAAATAAAAAATTACTTTAGAATTTACAATAATTTCAACATTTCTGTAGCTTTAAAGAGTGATGTCTGCTTCATTTAGAGATCTTTATCACAAAAAAATAGCAGCAAAACTGAGATGACTTGAACTTTTTTGACTTTTAGTCATACAAAAAAGAAAAACTTATTGGTGTACAAAAGCAGCGAAATAATAGAAGACAATAAATTTGGCAAAAAAAAAATAAATAAATAAAAAGAGGTAAAAAAATAATTGTTTTTTAGATAAGCCAAGAAAATTGTTTGGCAGTATCGGTTTTACCGGTGGTAATCTTTATTACTACCGTCACCGTTAACCAAAGCAACAAACAGTTAAACAGCGGCCACACCACAGATTATCAGTTATTTATTATCAATACTCTTATTAAAAAAGTTTTAAAAAACAAATAAATTCACAGCTAAGCTTTGTTTTATTTATTTTTTGTTTACTCATTTTAAAACAATGCAAACTAAAATCAAACAAAACGAGTAACTGTTTTAGCTGAATAGTTCGATGTCTAACTGAAAAAGGTAAATTTTTCAGCTGATCTGCTTATATACAATATGCCACCAAATGTCTGCACATAATTTGAGTCACAATAAAACAGTAAACAAACAGTATCACATTTCTTCAGTTTCACCTCAATTACATTCAAAAAAAAAAAAGTAAGGTTTAAGATTTTTGTACATGAAGAAAAGCTAAATTCTTCGAAAGTTCAAAAATGTTTAAAGCAAAGAGGAACGAGAAAAAAGTATTATTAAATGTAAGTTTTGCAAATTGTTCCAAAAATTTTTGCACCTTTTGTCTTTTTTTTTTCTTGATTCATACATAAAATGAGAAAAAAGGAGGGATATGGAGGAATAAACAAGCAGATAAAGTGAATGAGAACAAGGAGCTATTCTTCAGTATACACAGGTATGAATTTCATTTTCAAGCTCTACTTCCAGGTTCAAAACGCCAATGTTCATTGGTTCTTTTGGTTCTGTACCATCAAAGATGTACTTTTTTGGTATCCGTATAATCCACTCTCGTTTACAGGCCTACAAAAAAAGAAAAACAGTGAACGAAACAGTTTATAATACTGATGTAAAAAAAAGAAAAACAAAAATATAAAATTAAGTTGTCTATATTGTTCACGTTTTTTTTTTGCCAAACTAATAAACAAAATTTGTACTGTTATAATAGAAGATAATTTTGGTGTTGCACAATTAGTTGAAAATGTTATTGTGAGTGCTGTTTTAATACCCAACAAGTAGTATCAGTCAAAGTCGAGGAAACAAGAAAAACAAAGACTTTTTTCAGTGAAAGTCCTAAACCTTTTTTTTTTCAGCATTTTTATATATTCTCATTTGGGAAAAATCATTAGATAAAATCAAAAATTTTTTTGACCTATAACAAAAACTATGAACAGTATAAGTCATAATCTTCTGCAAAAGTGGTAGTTATAAATCAAAATTTTATTGCTGTTTCAAAGTTTCTAATTTAAAAAAAAAAAAAGGAGGCACTAATTTGGTAGTTCACAGCTGTTGGATCTGCTTCAACAAAGGCGACAATTAAAACCTGTTTTCAATCACTTAATCAGTAAAAATATTCAATACGATTAGTTCTTTTTTATGTAACACAAATTGTTCCGTATTATTTTGATACTGATTTCTTTCGTTTACTTTTTTTTTTCTTTACACTAATCGTTGAAACGTCGTAGAAATTTCACAGACTGCTTAATGCACATAATGTGCATTTTCCGTACATATCAGCGAGATTCGAGTTGTTGATCATTTTTTTTTACAGTGAGACTACGTATTAAACTTGCACTAATAGCTTTTAATAGCACTTTGCTGGTATTATAATTGGTTTGATGTCCGCAGAAATAGAAACTTATTTTGTCGTAGTAAAAAAAAAGAAGTTAACTAGTAAATAAATACTTAAATTAGTGAGGAGAAAAAATTTCTTTAAAAGAAACCTCAAAATAAAATATTCAAATAATAAGTGGAAAAAAGGAGAAGATGAAGAAACAACCAGTGACAGTGACGATATAAAACAAAGAATTTTTTTGATAACATTTTTCAAAACAAATCGCTTCACAAAAATAACTATAATACAGGTTTAAAAAAATTACAAATTTTAAGAAGGAATTAGAATTTTATAATTGTTGTTCTTTGATTAAAAAATCACTATAATGTACTTTGAGAAAAACTGAAGAAAGAAAGATAAAGAAAGCAAAAAATAAATTTACTATTTATCTGCTTCAAAACCCCTAAACAAAACAGCATGCAAATATACAAGAACTAAAGGTTAGATGTAACTTCTATTGGCCGTAGTTTTATAATTGCTGAAGACAATAATAAGAAAAAAAAATTCTCTAAAAACAATAATTGAAAAGTCTAAACACAATTCAAAAAATTTGACTTTTGATTTAACTGTTGTGATCACATTACTGCGACCATTTATCCAAAAATCTGTTTCCAGTGACAACTTATCAAATTAGGAGAAAAAAAAGAAATAAAAAAAGTTGATCTGTCATAAAATGAATAATTTTTAATCAATCGGTTTTTGGAGAAACAAGTATGTTTTATTCTTTTTTTTCCTCCCCGACATGTCCTAACTAAGTAACTACTATGACTTAAAAAATTTGTGAATATAAAATTTTATTGAACAATAAAAAGTTGTAAGTTTCTAAAGTTTTGGGAAATGCAACAAAGTCTTTAATAAATCGTCCTTTCAAACAAGTACCACAATGTTGTTTAGCAGTTTTTAACTAGCTTTTCTCGTTCAAAAATGCAACGAATCATATAAAATATTCAAGTATTCTATCATAATCAATCATTAAAAAAAAAAAAGATAACTGCATCAACTTATCCAGTTTACCTTATCCAAGTCATTACAGTCATGGAAAATCCGAACTTCCGGATCAATGTCACTTAGCTCGCTTGAAGAACCTTTTAAGCTAAATGCTCCTGTTTCATTTGTATAACCCGAATCTAATAGATCGTCTGGGTTTGGCACTGCAATATTCACTGTTATGTTGGTAGTTTGAAGCTCAATTCATCCCCTTTTTTTTATTAAACAAAAAATGAGTAGCACAAAAGTCCTCTTCATATACTTGTTTCCATTTAAGTTTGTAAAAAATTGGAGTAAATATGAAAGAAATGATAACTGGAATCAACATCAACAAGTTCCACGCGAAGATTTCCGGCATCTTGGCTACCGCATTTCAATCGTCCTTCTACCCAAACGCTTTGTGGGGTCAATGAATTACTGCAACGAATCAGTAACAGTAATGCCATTGCCCAAACTGTAATTCCAAACATTTTGTCAGATTGGTAACCTAAAAAAGATAAATATATCAACAGATATAAAAGGCTATAAAATAGGAAAAGATAAAAATAATAAAAAAAAATTAAAAATGAATCCTGAAAAACCAGATCACCACCGTCATTCCCACAGCCAACAACAGTGTCGGTTAATCATTACAGTAACAAATTAAAATCAACAACTTCACAGGTTTAAAGAAGCTGATAAGCTAATCGTGTTATTGTACCATAAAAAGAAAAGCGAAACAAAACCGAAACCAAACAAAGACCAGAAAAAAACACGCGTTTAAATGTTGCTGTCTTATGACTTCATCAATCACCCTAGTTAAAAGCATTCGCTGTTTTTGCAACACCATTGGTAGCAATAGCAGCAAAAGCACCCAGTAGCAGCAGCAAAAATAATTACAACAACAACAGTTTTAAGCCATTTGGCCTCAAAGTCACTGTTTTGCTATCAATACTATTGCTGCTGTCATATCGCTCAGTCTTTCCTCTCAAATTATATTTTATTTTAACTCAATTCTGCTGTTTTTTCCCTTATTATTTTAAATTAAAAACATACATACACAAAAAAGTAACGGTGATTAGTGAAGGAAAAACATCATAAGGCGAATGTCACTTTTTTTTTGGTTTTGCTGTCATAATTTTTGAATCAATCAATTCAAAATAACAACAATTTTAAAAACTAATATAAAAAATTTTGAAAATGTTTGCTGTTGAATTGTTCTTCCCAACCATTTTTTAATTTTAAATAATTACCAGTTTTAGCAAGAAAAAAAGCAAAAAAAAAAGATAAAAAAAAAAAA